TGACGCATGACCAAAGCTTTCTTCCCGAGAGAGTGGGAGTGTCCTGGAGCTTGGTAAAACTATCCATCTCCAGCTTCAGAGGAGTTCTTGAACCAGCAACGGAGGAAAAGGGTACGGCCGACCTGAAACCTCCACCTGCTGTTCTATTCACGCTGACTAGAATAGCCCAAGAATAAACCAACTGTAACCAGCTAACGGGGACTCTCCCAGAGTCATTGATTTCTGAAGTTAAGTTAAGACGAGAACGTCCATCTGCCAAACGCTTGCCAAACCGTGTACCCGGGACAACTCTGGACCAGACGATCGGGCGCTTGCGTCTTCGTTACCAGACTGAGTGTCATCTTGGATGAACACATCCTGCTGATCTCCGGATCCACAAGAGGGTCTGGAAAGCACCCAGGTCGCCACAGCCGACCACCGCCCCCGGGGCAGAGGGCTCCCACAGAGGAAACACTGGAAAAAAGTTAAATTAAGGTTAAAATACAAAATAATAAGGGCTAAAATGAAAATTGTAATATAAAAAGTTATATAGATATTAAAATAATGTTGATTATAAATCTATGGTATATATTTAAACTCTGTTTAAAAAAATACATAAAATAAATAAATAGATAAATAAATAACCTAATTAATTAATTAATTAATTAAAAAATTGATAGTAATCAGTTAAAAGCTAAGCTAAAAAGATGGGTCTTGAGCCTATTTCCAAAAACATGAGTGAGTGTTCAGATGTCTTTCACAATCAATGTGCTGCTGAAATGTTTATATATTGGTCTTAATAATCAACTTTAGATATCGAACATCGGCACCAAATTTCTTTAAAAATCAGCATCGGCCTCTAGTTGGTTCCAAAGTTTGGATGCAAACACGGAGAATGCCTCTGGCAGGGTTCTGGCTGGAGTGTATTTAGACACCAGTCACTAAATGTATGGAGGTGCCATACCCGACAGAGACCTAAATCAACAGCACAATGTGAGACTACTAAAACAATGTGTGTTAGCTCTGCTGGGTGCCTAAAGGGGCACATTCACAAACAAGAGGCACTGCTTTTGGCTTTAAATATGGAAGTGATGAGCACAGCAAAAAAAAAAACTCAAGATTTCTTAAAAACTATAGTCTCTTTTAGAAAAGAATATCACCATGGCAGCATCTGGGAGGTTTATGTCATTTATAAGTGGTCAGACCATGGTGGCAGTGTTGTGCAATCGTGTCCTTTTTACAAAATATTATGCAATGGCGGTGTAAAGCTTGGTTTATGCTTGACGCATTTACTTTCCACGCGGTGATGCGGCTCGCGGATGGAACGCGCTTCACAACTCGCAGAGTTTATGGTTCGTGCGGCTCGTCTCTGCGGTGAGCCAATATTCTCCCAAACTGTAGGGGGCAGCATGGAGCTCTACAGCATGCATCCAACACTACACCATAGTAGAAATAGAAATTACTGTTTACAACATGACATTTCAGCATTTTTAACAGCGTCCTCATCTTTTCCGACAGTGCGAGCTATTTCTCTCCAAGAATTATTAACTACATGTTGATCACGGTGATCTCTGAGAGCTGAATCATACAAATGTCTGTATTTACGAACCTCTGCCATACTAGTTCTTGCTGGTCCGCCATGTTTTTCCGCATCCGTCCGTCCGCGTGGTTAGAAATTTTCCGAGGTGCACGTTGCGGAAATCTTGGGCCGTGCGGAGGCGGGTGGAGGGGCGTGGTTGTTAAAATGACGCAAAATGACGCAACTTTTCCTCGCGGACGCGTCAAGCATAAACCAAACTTAAAGGGGGTATGAGGGGGGTCTCAGCTCTGCCACGGACTTCCGTTGTGCTCATTAAGTTTTTTAACAAGCCGCTCCTAAAGGTCTCTGTCCTCCACGGCCCCAGCATCCTCTGGTGATCTGAGCTCCAGCTCTAACAGAGAGGGGTTCCTGGAGCTCTGCATTGCTCCAGTTTATCATCTCAGCTGGTTCTGTTAACAAAAGTGATACTTACGGCCCGTGGTCACTTTAATTTTCAATATACTTTCCAGCCGGAGCTCAATAACTCCCCACGTAATCATGACACCTCCCTCTGTTGCGCCAATTTGCATTCACAAGTCCGGCGTTGCAGCAATACTACTACCAAGCGTGGCGGCAAGAATACCGCAAAATTCCTGCAACGCCATGCCACCATGGCGCGTTCATTGGACACAACGTTGCAGCAGTATTACACTGATTTGACAGCATGGTGTCCTCTAAAAAGGACTTATTCGATGATTCTTGAGCTGTGTTCATCAGAAGGCTCTGGTGCTCACGTGTGAATGTTTGGGTCTCTGCAGTGTTCGTCTACATCTATTTGCACGCCTTTCCAAAGCTGCACAGTGTGAAAACGGACAGAAAGTATGTGGAGAACAATTAAAAGTCATTTCCAAGTTTACAATCTTTAGGACTTACATTGATTAGGCTCTTTTTGGGTTGGAGTGGATTCATAGGGCGGCGAGCTGCTCGCTTTGTGCTCGACGTAAACAAATCATTGTGTTCTTATCCCAATAAAGCAGGTGACACAACAGATTGCTATCAACACTCTGTGCGTGGTGTGAGCAGAGTGTAAAGACAGCTGAGTCTCAGCGGAGACACGCGGTTGCAGCTCTGGATTTGAATTCACCCTCTGGGTAAAAGAAGAAGGGAGGGAGGGGGTAAAAATAGGTTGAGTAAAACTGGAGTAAACAAGGCAGAAGTAGAGTAGGCTGTGAAGGAGTAGAGGG